GCAGGAATCTTGTACATAAATATAAGTTTAAAAAAAAAACATAAGTAGAAATGTTCTGAAGATATAATAGGGTGTTAGGCATGTAGTTCTGACTTTTCACCACTAGTTGCCCCCACCTGTCTTTAGTTCCTTAAAGTGTTACTAAACCCACAACAGTAAAATCGGTCTGTATATGCAGTAAAGCATGCTTGTTATGCTCACTGCGGAACCTAAGGGGTTAATCCTCTGCATTGTGTAAAAAAGCTGTTTGATCCTGACTTCTCTACTCCTCCTCTTGTTCAAATGTCCACCTCTTATCTCCTAAGACAGACTGAAACGTAGCCATTCTGCACATGCTCATTTTTTTTTTATTCTTGGGAGAATGCATGTGATCAACACAGGGCCAATCAATGCTGTCAGGGGTTTTGCATCCTCCTAGAGCAGAAAGAAAACTCCTCCTACAAGCTTTAACCAGTGCTGTGCTGGACACTGATAGCAGTTTATATTTACTAAAATAATTGCATTTCTATGTTCTTTGTAATGTGGGAGAGCATATATAGTGAATGCAGGTTTCTGGGTTTAGTAACACTTTAACTAATATCAATTTACAGGGGAAGTTCCTCTGTTTAGTTCCATCTAGGGAGGAAGCCAGGCATGGCACCATTTTGGGAGAGCCTGTGTCTAATTGAACATAGAGTTCTCTTGAGCTTTGGACTGCCATCTTTAGTCCCTGGTGTGCCCACATTTTGGGAATTTTCAGATAGGGACAGAGACTTTAGGGGGAGGTTTAATCACACTCCTGTACACCGTTGGAGCAGCCCATGCAATCAAGGAGATATGGAACCTCTTTTCCTGCACATTCTCGTACACTACTTGGCACAAGTACCCCACAGAGCTCTGCCAGGTCCCAAAGGCTTGCATCGGACTATCAAAAATGATGGTGACGGTGGAGGGAAAAATGGAGCCTGAATCAACTGGAACAAAGTTCCTCTTTAACTACTACATTTTTAGAAGTTCAGTCAACATTTTTGGATATCTAAAGGCTTTTGAAAAAAAGAAAAAATTAATGGAGCCACCATATCCATGGACTGGTAGGCTGTAATATTTTACATTTTTGTTTACAGATTTAGATACACTTTAAAAATTGTACAATTTCTTATTAAGGATCTAGCTGTACTTTTGGGGCATGTTCAAAAATGCCACTTTCATCAAGTAGAAGGCATCGCAATGTGCCTTTTGGTAGCTTCAGACCTGTACCTCTTAACCCATATGGTCAGTTATGCATACCTTGGAGCTTTCAATACAGATTTGATCCTTCAGCTGATTGGCTCCTTGTGCTGCTTCTCCCTTCCCTAGTATGAGTTCTGCTGTACAGGGGGCTGAAAAAAACTTATTTCAATTAAAATTCAGGTACATTGACGAAATAAATGTAATGATGTTTTTGACTTGACATCAGCAGCTGCTGCCCCATCCATAGCAAACTTCTTTTTTGAAGCAATGCTTCCCTTGCAAAAAAAAAATGGGTTCGGGGGTTGGTATTTTGACGGTTCTTATGTGATTTATTTTAGGTTGATAGGGTGTGTATTTTCGGTTAAACTGCTATTTTTTTATTTTATTTTTTTGCTGCAAGGCTTTTGTTTTAGAGGTGGTATTTTGGGGTTTTCATTTATTTTGCTTTTTTTTTATTTTATGTTCACAGGGCCTTTTTTAAGTTTGGCGTGCTCCAAGCACAGCATTTACCTGTGTCACTGACTTTTTGTTCACAGCAAATGGCTACTTTCTTTGAAAGAGAAAAAAAAAAAAAAGGCTTAGGGCAAGAACAGTTTGCACCTAAACCACTTCATAATACATTACTCATACTCACTACACTACCCTATATGTATTGTAGAGCAATAAAAGTTAGGCATACACCAGTCAGGCCTACTATCCCTAATTAAATTAACGACTGTCCCTCAGCATCCTAATGTCCAATACAAGGCAATGGACCCTATATCAGTCATGATGATGTTGGGACCTTCAACTGTTGGAGCATGGAGAGAAGATGCTGCAGGGACCAGTCTAGCAGCAAGGATGACTGGGAAACTAAATCTACTTTTCCATGCCACCTAAACTTAAATGAGCTGTGGGCACAGGCCCACTGCAAGGGGGAATTTTCAGCTCTCCTGTTGTTGGGCTTTAAAACTTTACTCTTACTGACTAATTTTACACTGCTATTTCATCTGCAGTCTCTTATTTTCCAATGAGAGCTTCATAGAAATTGGTCAGAGGTAAGACATTTTTATGTCAATAAGAACAGGGGCAACCACAGCAAACCACTGGCCAATTTCAAAGTGGTCAGAACGGGTCTAATATTGTTTATGCAAAAGCGATCTATTATTGATGATGAAAAAAGAATGAGTCACTCTCACAGCTACTTGAACAACCTTTCTCATCATATTTACCCTTAAGGAACCCTGGAAGTTATTTTCACACCTCAGAGAACTTCTGCTAAAAATACAGTAAATACATCTGCAGCTCACAGTACACTGACGTCATCAGTTGGATTTGCATGTACAGTATAACAAATAAAATAATAATGTGGCATTTTAACCCTCTCCTGCCTTGCAATGGTGGCCAGTAGAGGGAAGAATGTCCCCTTACATTGGCAGTCATTGGGGAAAATGCCACCCTTGGAGACAGCTAAAAGGAACCACTAGTCTTAGGCCACTGGTCCACAAATATGCATGCACCATAAAGGTGGGAAGTCAATCCATCATTGCATATTGATCAAGGAGCCCCTAGCAATCTTAGAAGTAGTAATGTCTTTGATTTTTGACTCGAACATCGGCCATTCATGTGTTCGGCAAACACACGAATGGTAAGGGCATTCGGCGGGCTGTTCGCCCACTGCGCCCCCCAGTGCACTGCGCTCTCATAGTGCATTGTGATTGGCCAAAGCAATGCACCTGACCACAGGTCAGGTGAAATGCGTTGGCCAATCACTGCACAATTCGGCGGAGATAGCGGCGATTGCTTGGCAGGTGTGGATGGGTCGGTGGGCGTTGGGGTTTTCTTCTATTTCGGTGAGTCAGAGTCATGGCAACACTGAATGCTGTGATTGATGATTGAACCTTTTTTTGGGCTTTTTTTTGGTTAATAAAGGACTTGTCAAAAACTGTTTTTTTTATTCACATTTTACACTTTTTTGATGAATGGGTAGGGGTATGTACCCCATACTCATTCACAAGGGGGGGGCTGGGATCTGGGGGCACGCTTGTTAAAGGGGGTTTCCAGATTTTGATAAATCACCCCCTGCAGCCCTCCACAACCACAGCCCAGGGTCAACATGGGGACAAAGTGCTTTGGGGTTGGCGCTCACTCATCCTCCCCCTTCCCTGCCCTGCGAGGCCTGTGCTCAGATCAAGGGTCTGGTAGGAATTTAGGGGGACTCCACACTTTTTTCCCCATTTTTTGGGAGTGGAGTTCCCCTAAAAAGACCTACCAGGCCTAAAGGGCCTTATAAGGCTTTTGGGGGGAACCCCATTTACTTTTTTTTTAATTTTTTACTGTGGTGCCCCACCTAACATTCCTACCAGACCTAAAGTGTTGGGGTAGGGGGGACCCCACACTGTTTAAAAAAAAAAAAAAGTCAGTCTTGCTGCAGCAGATTCTATACATTGTACAGATGGGTACAGGTAGTTTTAGGGAACCCCTCCCCCCAAGCATGATACTTAATGGATTTTTTTTTTTTTTACTTCAAGCAATGAAAAATTACTGCCCCTTTAAAAACGGTACTTTCTGAAGTTTTTTTGAAGTTTTTTTTTCCCACTGATTCATGTCCCTCAGGGCAGTACCCAAGTCCCGATACTCCTTTTATGGCCAATAACTTGCATATAAGCCTTCTAAATGGGCAATTTGCAAGTTCGAGTCCCATAGACTTTCGTTCGAATGTTCAACCGTGAACTGAACAGGGGGGTGTTAGGCCCATCACTACTCAGAAGGAACCCTACTTGAGAAACTGTACTAAACTGGAAAGCCTTTTTTTTCAAACTTTAAAGAATCACATTGGGATGCAGGAGGCAATGTAGGGCATTTGGCCGAACCTTACTGTGATTGTTCAATTTAGTTTGTAAATTGCACTGATCATGTTCTTGTTGAGATAAGTTACATCACTTTTTTTATTTACTAAACTTTTTATGTTAAAACAAACATGTTAGACAATTTCTATTCATATTCTGAATAGTTGGGAAACATGACGCTAAGCATACTTACTAAGACAAACCAAAAGAATATTATGATCACATAAATATCATTACAGTTAAACTTTTAAAGTTTTATATAGCAGCAAACATTAAGGGGGTATCTAAAACAACCTCCCCTTCCCAAATATCATCCTTATATTGTATGTATGCTCCTTCACTACATTTATTTTCACAAAACAACCCCCTTGACTTAAAGGAGTAAAACAATAAGGTTACCATTGCTGATTTCCTATTCTGAAAATGCTAATTGTTTGATCCTCATGCTAACCTCTGGCTTTAATACCTTGTGCCTCTTACTCAGTATAAGCCTGCAGGACGTCTGACTTTTTCCTGGACTGCAAAATTCCATGTCAGAGATTCAGAAAGTACTTTATCCAAGGGTTTACCAGAGTGACTAGGAAACCTGCATTTTGAGAAGGCAGTCAGCAATGGGAGTCCCCATATTTCTTTAATGATGGGTTCACTTATGTTATAGTTCCTAGTACAAGTTTTGTTCAGTTATAGAAGTCACACTTTGGACAGTCCCGCTGTCCATAACACTTCTTTGATATTAATATTTTAATAGATAATATTCAGGCCAGTTACTAGATTATAATAATGAAAAAAATTAATGTCACAGTATGAAGCGACAATATATAGTGAAAATGGACATATAGATACAAATAACGATCATGCATGTGTAGGTAGGAGATTTACTCATAGCTTCTCCTGCAATCAAGTATATACAATATGTGCAGAAATATTGGACTAGGAAATTTGAAGAGGGATGTCCCTGGGAAGTTATGCAGGTGACACGGTAGAATTGGAAACTGAGGATACTTCTGTCCGAGATGTAGAAGAAAGTTCTGAGCCATCGTCAACTTTTTTACCAAATAGTTGATAGATGCAGTTCCGGAACTAAAGGAATTTAAAAAAAAAACAGGTTTTCATTGAATATCACTGAGGTTTTTATTTATTTATTTTTTACATTTGTTTCAGGTGTTTGTGTATCTTTCTCTGGACCCTTCTGAGAAATGTTCCACTGTGACACTAATACAAGAAATAGGACAAGTGTCACGAATAAATGAATGAGAAAAAAAAAAAAAAAACATTGTCTGAAATTCAAATTCTCCCTTATGCAACTAAAATTGTGCTTTTGTCTATACACCCATTGGAGAGGTTTCCACATCACCTCCTGGAGTTGGAGGTGTGTAGATCTTTTAGGCCACTTTGCTCAGCACCAGAGCAAAGATTCTATGAACAAGCAATGGGGCAGGTTCATATAAAGTGTCCTCTTTTTAGGTAAAAGAGTTGCTTTAAATAGACAGTGTCACTTTTCCTGTGCACGAAAAGTAACAGTGTATCTGTAAAGGACATCTTCTGACACCCTTGTATACTCACTTTAACTGCACTCTTCACATCTCAGTGCTCCATCGCAGCTGTCAAGAAAACTCAGCATTTCTGGGTACGGGGGAGCATGAAACTATTTCCCCTGTTATGGTGTCCTTGCCTAGCAAATGGCTGCTAGGCCCAGGCACTGGCACAGGGGACATTACCGTTTTCCATTGTTACATTGATTTTCTGCTGCAGAGAATGAATGACTTAGGATATTTTTTTCCCAATGCACCAACCTGTCTGTTCATGAAGACGTAAATGACGGGGTTGTAAATGGTGGCACTCTTGGCAAAATAGGCAGGTAACGAGGCAGCCAAGGGATGGAAACTGTAGCCTGGGTTGGCGGCAGCAAAGCAGGCGAAAATTGTGTACGGTCCCCAACAAAAGATGTAAGCCATGATCATGACAACTACCATCCTGGAGACCTCCCGTTCAGCCTTCTGGGTGGATTCAGACTCTTTCTGCTGCTGGGCTACCTAGAAAATGGGAAGATTTTCAAAAACGTATATATGGTTAAAATAGAGCTTGGCAGTGATGTTGCAACTGTAAAACACTTTGAAGACTTCTGGCAGACATTTGTGTTTTTCTGCTCAATTGCATGCTAGAAGCAGCGGTGGACTGACAACTCATGGGGCCCCCGGGCAATAGGGGATCATGGGGCCCCTGTGCCCTTGCCCAAACTCAAAAAAGCCTATGAAAAAAGGTACCAGGGGCATCTCATGGGGCCCCCTACTGACCCCGGGCCCCCCGGGCAGTGCCCGAGTTTCCAAGTGGTCAGTCCACCCCTGGCTAGAAGACTATTTGAAAGATCTGAAACAGGTTTTAAATCAGATTGTATAGATAAGTGTTGCATTTATTGCTGATATTTCCATGTATCGTGTTGCAGTTTTATAAACAAACCATGTCCTGTTCTGCAGCGGGAACACCATGCCTTGGCCATAGAATGCAAATATTGGGGGTATCCAAATGCTATGACTGGGTAACATTCTCTGTCCTCCCTGGGTTTATTATTATAATATTATATTGTACTAGGACATAACTTTTATGTCAGTCACTGTTTCCAACTTTGGCTCTTCAGCACTTAACGAGCTCTATATTCTCCTAAGCATACACAGTATATTGATGAAATAAACATTCTAGTGATATGCTGAATCTGAATTCCAGGTATGGATACTTTTGCATAGTTACATGTTCGAGCTGGACCATTGTAAGTATGCATGCTTCATACCCGGTTGATCTCTCTAGAATCTGAAAATCACTCTACTAGGCACCACTACTACAGTGATCGCCGCTAGTTTCCAATTTCTGCGCAGAGTGGCTGCCTTGCTGCTTAGTTAACACAAAAGATCACTCAATCATCTACTGGGAACAATTTTGATACTTTCCTAAGTATTTAAATCTTTGCAGTATTCATGAGGTATGTTTCTACCTCCGATGCTTGCCCTCAACCCTCTTCCCTGTGCTGCTAATATAAAGGGGGATGGCTCTTCTTAAAGCTGAGTGCGGTGGCCTGCATAGGAAAGAGAGGAGAGGCACAGCAGAAAGATGTAACCACCAGCAACATTCTGAGCACCTTTTGGGTAGATTCCACTGGAATCAGGACTTGTCCACTCCAAGGACTCTTATCTTTTAAGGTATGAACTGGGCAGCTAAGCTTAGCTAGTTTGGGAAATGGCTGTCTGTGTTCACTGCTGCTGTATTAAACTGTGTAACTTCAGTAAAAGCTGTTAACCATTTGTTGTTGGACTGAAGTTGCTGCAAAGGGGTGCATGGTGGTATAAGGTGTATCACAAAGAAGAGTAACCAACACAAGGGAATGATATGGCAGCCAGGCAGCATGAGTATGATACTGGCAAGGGTGACGGGTTCTCTGCATAGTGAGGGGAGTAGTGTGCCATTTCCCTCCCGAGTGGTCAGTGCCCCAGCTAATCGTGGTGAAGATCTGAGGGACCTAGCCGCAGGTACGGAAGGAGTTAACCAAGTTAAGTGGGGCACGCAAGAGGTTTGTGCAGTGACATGGTGGAACCTGTATTCTATCACTGGAAGTGAGGTGATAGTAAAGCTGGACTGGTGGGACGGAACATAAACTGTTCCCTTCTAAATATCACATTTCCATTAAGGTGTACGTATCATGGGACAGTGTGGCTCTTTCAGGAAGGCCTCAGGTTGTGATACAATTGCACTGGATGTATGGCTTGCTTCCAATCCCAGATGCCACCTTAATGTTGAATTCATATCAACGCAACCCTGCCTGGTCCCAGGCATTAGTGAGCATGGGCACCGCAGAAGTAGGAGAGAAAGGTAAAGGCCCTATGTGCATGGACAAGTTTGGTCCACCCACACATGGACCCAACCATACAAGTTTATAAAGCTCACAAGTGCAAACACAGTCTGATGTACACTGATATAACCATCGTTGTTCAGCTGGCTGCTGAAACCAAATTCTTTATTTATTGTAAGATAGAGCAATTGAGGCTGTAAAATTTTTGAATACATAATTTTTAGTTCTACTTTAATACTTTTTCCATCAAGGTTGCCATGTGTGATCAAGGTAAAGAAATGTATTCAGGCCCCAAATTGCCAATCAAACAATGGAAAACATTTTGAGGCACAAATCTCATGAATTATGAGGCTAGAATATGTTCTTGGGACCTGTTCTCTCCCTATATGGGAACAACTGTAGTGCTCTTCACTACATTACAGACAGCCGTGTATACCTTAAATATTAATTAAGGTTACTTTGTGCTATAGGGCTCTAATGCCAGCTTTTCTCACCTTTCTAATGGCCCACCAAACATGTATGTAACAAAGGATGATGACTGCCAGAGGAATTATGCAACATGTGATCATGAGCACCATCATGTAAGACTGAACTCCGGGGTCACTATTACCGCTGAACACATCTGGACCACAAGATGTCTTCAAGCCATGGGGCCAGTATCTGCAGAAAAACATTGGAAGATGTTAAATAGGTTGGAGCACACTTCTAAATATTACATGAACTCCAATCTACATTAGCATGGCGTGCTAAAGATGCAAGATTGTTCTTTGGAAAAGTTTTGTTAATTATCACCAATTAAGTGAATGTTTCTGTCTTTACCCAACTATAATGTGTATGAAGTGCTCTGCACTAAAAAATATCTGGAATATGTGCTTTGTTTATGGTTGTATTTAGCATGCACCTTTTCACATGTTGTATCCCCTGGAATAAAAAAAAACCTCTACATACCCCTTTTGGATCACCCCAAAATGATCAGGTACTGAATTAAACTATGTCTACATTTGGCAATGTTCATCCACAGGATCAGCAAAGGCCGAATCACAATTAATATGGTTTGAAAGTTAGAAAAAGTACACTACAGCACAGCTTACAAACCTTAGGTCCAAAACCCAATGTTGGAATTCCCTAATTAGATAATTAGATATAATATGTAATCGGAAACAATCAACTTGCTATGATAATTGTGAAAGATCTGTAGTAGGGGTTGGTGCCAATTAAGCTAAATCACAGCAACCTTCAAAATTTCATACATTTGTACTGCATTTGTCAAATATAAGTAAGTCAACACATTTGGACACATTGGGAAGATTTACTAAAACTGGTGCAAACAGAACCTGGTACAGCTGTGCATAGTAACCAGTCAGCTTCCAGGTTTTATTGTCAAAGCTTATTTGAACAAGCTGAAGTTAGAAGCTGATTAGTTACTATGCACAGCTGCACCAGATTTTGTGTGCACCAGTTTTAGTAAATTTCTCCCTATTTATGTCTGCAACATGCATCTTTTTAAAGCTCAATTAAACTTTCAGTTTAACGCAAATACATTCCAGGTGTGTCAAAGAAAAAGGTGTTCCAAATTTTACAGTTCATTTTCTTTAGGAAGCAGCCACAAAATGAGTAGAAATGCCTGTGTCCTGCCAGCATGTAGAGAAGGACCTTTGCTCTCGGTGTGGAGGCAGTCATCTTTCTGCAGAAGTCCAACACAGCCACTGCTGTGTCAGATCTATAGCTCTGCAATCAGCAAAGCTCATGCTCCCTGCTGAGTTGAGGGTTCTAGTTGTAACAAATGAGCAAGCCAGACCTCTGCAGAAAGACCGCTACTTCCATTCCAGCAAGGATCCTTTTCTGCGGGCAGACTGTTATTCTTTTGCTTTCTAAAGAAAACAACTTGTAAAGCTTTGAACACTTTTTTGTTTTGATGCACCTGAAATGTATTTAGCTGTGAGGAACTTGAAGTGTTACTAAACCCACAACAGTAAAATCAGTCTATATATGCAGTAAAGCATGCTTTTTATACTCTCTTAGGAACCTAAGGGGTTAATCCTCTGCATTATGTAAAAATGCTGCTTGATCCTGACTTCTCTGATCCTCCCCTTCTTCAAGTTCTCTCCTCTTATCTCTTGATAAGACATATCTTGTGGAGACACTGCATATTGTGTGTATTGCTAGAGGGGTTTTTTTGTTCTTGGGAAAGTGCATGTGATCAGCACAGGGCCAATCAGCACTGCCCAGACAGAGGTCAGGGGTTCTGCATCCTCCTAGAGAAAACTCTTCCTACAAGCTTTAACCAGTGCTCTGCTGAACACTGATAGAAGTCACAGAACTTCTCTAACTGCTGATGAGAAAAGGTATTTAGCAGTTTATATTTACTAAAATAATTGCATTTCCATGTTCTGTGTACTGTGGGCAGGGGCGTACTGACAACTCATGAGGCCCCCGGGCAATAGGGGATCATGGGGCCCCTGTGTCCTTGCCCAAACTCAAAAAAGCCTAGGAAAAAGGTACCAGGGGTATTTTATGGGGCCCCCTACTGACCCTGGGCCCTCGGGCAGTGCCCGAGTTTCCAAATGGTTAGTCCACCCCTGACTGTGGGAGACGAGATATAGTGAATACAGGGTCCTGGGTTTAGTAACACTTTAAAGCAAACAATGGGCTATATTTGTGTGTAGAGTTTACATCTGAAGATATTACCTGCTCCAGCCAAATATTGGAGGTGCACACCAGCCTGCTGCCCAAAGCCAAGAGAATGCTATTCCACCAGCAGCCAGTTTTCCATCAAACTTAATGTTGCCAAAGGGTTTGCATACAACAAACCATCTTTCCCAAGCAATTACTGTTAATGACCAAAGTCCAGTGATACCTGTAGAAAGATCAATAATTTAGACATGATTTTAAATATACAGTGTATACATATACAGTGAAAACTGTTTACACCACTTTTTGTTGGGGGGCTTACTTAAAGCACAATTGTATAGTTGTCCTTTAAGGAAAAAAGTGGTGTCCTCTCTCCACCCCCAGCCTGCTGCCTGAACAGCGTAAAGCCTAGTACACACGTTAGATTTTTTTTTTTTTTTCAACCCAGTGGGCTGAACACAAAAAAACCCAGAGAGGTCTTTGTACTAAGTATGCGATGTTAGTGTGGCAGTCTCCCCCGCTAAACAACTGTGTCCCTCTCCCGCCAGCAACAAACAATGATCAGCACTCACAGCCACTAGCTGTCAGTGCTGACTGCCTGCTGACCAGATGCTGCTTTTCCAGCATGTCTCTCTCCGTGGACTGGCTTCTGTTGGACAGGCAGCTATACACACTCTCCAAATGTCGGCTGCTTCCTGCTGAACAGGCTGATATTTGGATCGAGTGTATGCAGCACTGTATCTGAAACAGGGGCAGACTGACAACTTATGGGGCCCCCGGGCAATAGGGGATCATGGGGCCCCTGTGTCCTTGCCCACACAAAAGCCTATGAAAAAGCCAATGAAAGGTACCAGGGGCATCTCATGGGGCCCCCTGCTGACCCCGGGCCCCTTCGAGCAGTGCCCAAGTGCTCGAATGGTCGGTCCGCCCGATCTGAAATGACCATATAGCATAACCCAGTCAAATGCGTTGACAGGGAACATGCTGACAAGAGTCTATAGCTACTCTAACCTTACTTTGCAGCACAGTGGCTAAATGGTTAGCACTTCGCCTGGCAGTACTCGGGTCGTTGGTTCGAATCCCAGCCACGGCACCACCTGCCTGGAGTTTGCATGTTCTCCCTGTGCCTGTGTGGGTATCCTCCTGGTACTCCGGTTTCCTCCCACACTCCAAAGACATGCTGGTAGGTGAATTGGGTCCTGTCTTAATTGGCCCTAGTATGTGTATGTATGAATGTGAGTTAGGGACCTTGAGGGTTAGGGACTGATGTGAATGTACAATATATATGTAGAGCGCTGCGCAAATTGACGGCACTATATAAGTACCTAAAATAAATAAATAAATACTCCTTGAAGACTTACCACACACTGAAACAGTGTACCCCTCAATCACACACAGGGGATGGCCAAGGATGAAGTAACCGAAAATCTGGTTGATGACACTGATGGTGCTGGCAATGACAGTCTCCCCAAGATCAGCAATAGCCAAGTTCATCAAGATCCAGTTCAGAGGGTGTCGAAGCTTTTTAAACTTAAATGTAGCTACTAAGACAAGCCCATTGGTGAAAACAGATGCTGCAACTACAAATATCATCCAGAGTGTGGTGACGTTGTAGGCCCATCTAGGTGCAATGTGATAATTTGGACCTTCAAAGGGACCTGCAAATGATAAAGAAAAGAGTTACACTGGACACTACAACCTCAACTCCTGGTATTTTACCCTGTAAAATGAGAGGGGAAACTTTATTGTTTACAGTTTTCTTAGATGTACATGTATATGTGAATGCAAATTGACTTATCATTGAAGTTTCATGTTCTAAAAAACCTTGTTTCTAAAAATAGTTTGTATGTATATATATATATATATATATATATATATATATATATACACACACACACAGTATATGTAAAGCATTTTGTAAATTATCGATGTTATATACTGTAAGTACCTCCAATAAATAAATATTGAAAATAAATAATAGTTCCCATTCAATGATCTGCCACTGATAATCTCTGTATATATGCCATCATATGTAGCATGATGTCTGGAGTTAATATATATATATTGTTTTATTTAGTATACAGTGTAGCAATCGTACGTACAGATATGGACACGGACATCCATTTTGCTCAAGATCCACCATCTTGTGTCATTCTCACTCCAAATCAGTCCCCCTCCCTTTCTGTTAAATGGCATGTGGTCTGTATGTGTGCTGAGTTCAGGAGTGCACAGGGCACAGCTGGATACACTTCATGGTTGTAAACCCAATTAGCTGGTTCCAGGGTGTCTGACAGACTCTTGCTCTGGCCGGTTCGTAAAGCTATAAACCCATCAGTCACTGGACTTGAAAAGCATTCCTAAATAGCAGTAAAACATACATCCCATTTGAAACCACTTTTTCATACAATTTCATAACTCCCGGCAGGAAATAGGTACAATAGAACAAAGCATATATTCAGATAGATCAGTTTAATGCGAGTCACCTGGTACCTTACATCCCTAGATTACGTCTACCCGAGAGCAGGAAGCGATATTTCTTTAACCGTCACAGGCAGATATGTCACATCTGGTGTTTGGACATTAAGAATATGATTCTGCACATTATTTTACCAGTGGATCGGATGCTACATGTACCTATGGAAAGTTATTGACCATGGTGTGGACTTGTGAGGGATTTGGGTCACAGCTGGGGTCTCTGCCTAAACCCCCTCCCCAAATGAGGCGATTGGCCCTTGGCTTCAGTAGACACCCCCTGCTGGGGGACTAGAAAACAGGCTGTCAGGCCTGAAAGAGGTAAGATGAAGAGATTCTCCCTTTTTAACATCAGGAACCAACTTTGGGAGAAACGGTACTCTTTTGTTCAGGACACTTGAATCTGCTTAAACCAAGGACAAGTATTCTACCTCTCTAAACATCTTTCTGTTATCTCTCTGTGGTGTTATTGCTCTCTGTATTTATATATATATATATATATATATATATATATATATATATATATATATATATATATATATATTGGCTACATCTTTTTCTGTAAATATTTTTATTGCACCATTTTGACCTTTTTAGTAATAAATCCTATTTTCTCAAAAGTGTTGAACTGTTTCTAAAGCTCTTTATGCAAACTAAGAATCCCTGTTTCTGAAGAGCGCTACTGTGTGTTTTAAATTTCTGCATACATCTGCCTGCGGTGACAGTGTGTATACAGACATTTATTCAACATTTATTCATCATAGTGTTACTGCTAAGATTTGTGAGTTTCCTCCTTCTCTGTAAAAAAAAGGTGGTGGTAGCAGTGTGAAGGGTTAATTGCGTAATTAACCTGACCCAGTAACATTCGCTCTCAGGCGGCTGGCACATAGATTGTGGTCCAGTGAGCTGGAAAATCTCTGTGCAGGGGACAGCTGAGAGTGACATTGTTACGCAAGTGGCAGCGCGGTTTTAGATTGGCTAGTCCTTCGGTCACAAGTTGGTGAGAAGGACTGGGCCTAATGCCGCGCCCGTCACATACAGTAAGATGATCTGTTTTAAAAGTTGTTGTACAATTTATTACTGAAAGAGAAACTTGTGCTCTAGTTCAGACACTTTGGCTAGACTGTTATGATTTAATCAGCCTGCTGCAAGCCTCAGTCACTTCTCCTCCATGATAAGACTGCAACATTGTAACTTTTTGGCAAGTCATAAGATGGGAAGGTGCAGCAGGGGTTGATCTGTGTCAGACATTTGTAATCACAGCCAAGAACTGCTCAGGCATCAGAATTTGCATGCTTGTATAATCTCTGAAGTGGCATATCAGTCCAGGTAGTAGATGCTGAACAAAAATCCTTCTGGGGAAAAAGCAGATTAAGGCATGGTTAGGGGAAATAATGTTCACACCCCACCCCCCACGAAGTGTTCATAAATTGTTGTTAGTGAAAAACTAGAATATTATTTAGCATGTGTGTACCCAATATGAAAAAATTAAATCCAATGCTAGGTCCACCATGTTGCAGTAGCTCCTTCGAAAGGTGGTTCAGCTTGAATCTAGTGATTGAAGTGATAGGGCCTAATGTTTAAAAGAGAGCTCCACTCAAAATTAATAATCTGGATGTACTGTAGAAAATAGGTAATTCTTTGAACACTATACTCTTCAACTTTTCTCCCAAATTGTTTACTTGGTCTATGAATTGCCTGCACTGGCTGCTGAGTGCCAAAAGATTTCCTACTGAATGTGGCTGAAACAGAAGGCAGCATTAGCATAAGCAGAAAGTGCAGGAGGTCATCAGTGGAGAGACAGATCTTGAAGAATTAGAGACTTATCTAATAAAGAAAAGTATAATGCACTAAGTAACCAATCAGAAAATATCTCCCCTTGGTCTAACTGCTCTGTGGCGATGAAAAGTGAAATATGACTGGTTACTATGGGTAATTGCAGTGTGCTCACTGCAATTTTTTTTTTTGCACTAGTTTTGTAATGTATTCAGTCTACCCAAAACGGATATTTCTGATTTTGCAGGATGTTGGATCGTTAAAACCAACTTAAATCTGAAGATTGAAGCACCACACAATTAGAGTACAAAATGTGGTTTTGTTTGGAAGAACCCAGCAATGTAGCTGGTGGCCTAAACCAGCTGCTAAATGTTACCATGTCCGTCCAATACAGGATTAAATTACAGTTTGAGTTCATGCTAGTTGATGCTATATCTTTTTAAGCCCTGATGAAGGGTGTGATGTGTGCTGCCCGAAATGCATTCTTTATTGCCCTTAATGAAAACGATCGACATATTGCAAAAAAGATAGCAGGACCAACCCCCCAAAAATCTTAAAATATATTGATAGTAAAAAGATCCGGTCCGAGCATGTAGGCCCTTTACAAAATAATCTAGAGTGGGTGACTGGGGACAAAGAGAAGGCAAATTTATTAAATACCTTCTTCAGCTCTGTGTATACAAAGGAGCATGGGGGAGCTTTTGTCCATAATGGGTATGGTATTGACACAGCTCCAGATGATCCATATTGGCTCACAACTGATATGATCCAAAAATATTTCAACAGAATAAAGGTGAATAAAGCACCCGGACACTGGATGGCATACACCCACGGGTCCTTAAAGAATTGAGCTCTGTAATTTCAAAGCCATTGTTTCAAATTTTTAGGGACTCTTTAATGACTGGCATAGTACCACTGGATAGGCGCAAGGCCAATGTGGTGCCAATATTTAAGGAGGTGAGCAAAACCTTGGACAGAGGGGTGACGGTGGACGCTGTATACTTGGATTTTGCAAAAGCGTTTGACACAGTTCCCCACAAACGGCTAACGTGTAAGGTAAAGTCTACAGGCTTGGATAAATCCATATGTAAATGGCTGGAAAACTGGCTAAAAGATCGTGTTCAAAGAGTAGTAGTTAAGGATTCATACTCTGAATAGTCTAGGGCTGTCAGTGCTACACCCAAAAGGTAAGTTTTAAAGCAAGCCGACGATCCCCGCAGGAAGGATCGGATCTGCGGATTGAGCATAATGGATCAGAGTCCCCAATCCGCAGATCCGATCCATCCTGCGGGGATCGTCGGCTTGCTTTAAAACTTACCTTTTTGTGATCAGTTAACCCTCTATAGGTTGCAAGCCAACGATCCCCCCAGGATGGATAGGATCGGACTCCGATCCATTATGCTCAATCCGCAGATCCGATCCATCCTGCGTGGATCGTCGGCGGGGTGACACCGAGTGTTACTGCATTGGGTGACACCAAACAGGGACGCCCCTGCAAACTGATAAGAGGCATGGAGGAGCTCAGCTATGAGGAAAGATTAGAGGAACTGAATGTATTCTCTCTTGAGAAGAAGTGATTAAGGGGGGATATGATCACCATGTATAATACATAGGGGGGATATGATCTCCATGTAGAATACATAAGGGGGGATATGATCTCCATGTATAATACATAAGGGGGGATATGATCTCCATGTATAATACATAAGGGGGGATATGATCACCATGTATAATACATAAGGGGGGATATGATCACCATGTATAATACATAAGGGGGGATATGATCACCATGTATAATACATAAGGGGGGGGATATGATCTCCATGTATAATACATAAGGGGGGATATGATCTCCATGTATAATACATAAGGGGGGATATGATCACCATGTATAATACATAAGGGGGGATATGATCAACATGTATAAATACATCAGTGGTTCATATAGTGAACTCGGTGTAGAGCTATCCACTCTGAGGTCATCACAGAGGACAAGGGGGCACTCTTTACATCTGGAGGAAAAAAAATTTCATCTCCAAACACAGAAAGGTTTCTTCACAGTGAAAGCTGTGAAAATATGGAATAGACTCCCTCAAGAGTTAGTTCTGGCCAGCTCAATGGATTGCTTTAAAAAAGTCTTGGATTCTTTCTTGGACACACAGAATATAACTGGTTACTAACATTTATAGGTAAAGTTGATCCAGGGAACATCTGATTGCCTGTCGGGGGATCAGAAAGGATTTTTTCCCCTGCAGGAGCAAATTGGATCAAGCTTTGCTGGGGGTTTTTTTTTTTGCCTTCCTCTGGATCAACTGTAGGTGTAGGATTATAACTTTTTTTTTTTAATGGTTGAACTGGATGGACTTTTGTCTTTTTTTCAGCCAGACTAACTATGTAACTATGTAATATATGCTCGGAATATAACCACATTTTGGACTCTAATACTTTGGCGTGGCACTTTGATCTTCAGATACCGATATTAGTTTCGCATTCCAAGGTTTCTTTAGCAGTTCCTCGGCTAATGGAAATATCCCATATACTACCCAAATGCCCCTTTGTAATAGTTTCATTACATTCACCAAAAGTACAAAAGCATTATTGACCTATAGTTCTAGCAGCATTGATCTACTATTTCAAGTTAAAACCAGCTTGCAGTCTTTTTATCTCTCTAGTACTCCACTGGTGAGATCTATTCACCAAGTTGCTGGGTCTTTACACCTGCTCTGGTTATTATGAGGGGTCCCCATTCTCCTTGATGGATTTTTATTTATTTGATATTATGGAGAATGCAACAGGAAGAGCCAGAATACACAAAGGTGGGCAGGGACACCAAAAACTTCCAAGAGTACAGGAACATATTCAGGATATCTCATTGTCAGAGTATCCAATGCATATAAGAAGCCAGGAACTGACATATTTGGGTGGACTGACTTTTTACATCATCCAGGTATTGTTAAATCTAGGAAATTATCATACTGGTCATACATAGGGCATTTTTCTGGTAATCTTACCAAATTTCAATAGCTTTCAAACTGACAAAGGCAATCTTACACAAACAGTTTCAGTTGTTTCATGGAGCTAATAGAAACCATCTATGGTATTTTGCCTTGATCCAGTTCATTAACTATAACAAGTGTATTCTACTCAACAGAGCTTTCCTGATTATGTGAATGGAGAGAGAAAAGATGGACAACATGCATGCTGGAAAATGTTTGCCAATCAAACTGCAGGCTAGTGGCTCACCCAAACTCTCTATATGGTTAGTTTCTACCTCTAGAATAGTTGTCTCAATTTTTCCAAACAAACCCATGTTCCTTAGAAAAGATATGAGCTATAGTGAGCATCTGAGGGTGTTCAGTGCTGGTTTAGCCAAACCTCTACATTCCCTGCAGATTCTAAACACTCATTACTTTTCTAATCTAGTTTGCAAATGTGGAAAGGTGTGCTTTATACTTACAGAAAAGACTGCTGAAATGGTATCCATCACTTACGCAATGTAGAATACAAGGTCACAAAAGACAAGGTCAATGGCCCTGTGCCACAGTGGCCTCTCAAGTCATGTGAAATGGTTTGAGATGCCACGTTTACACACACCTTAAATGCTATTTCAGTTTGACAATTAAGAGCCTTCAAATTGATTAAAAATTCTCTTTGGGGCATACAGGTAAGTATAAGCAGGCATTCCTCCATGTTTACTCATAAACAAGATTACTTTCCATATATTTTTATTGGTGAAATGTTGAAGGCTGTTTGTTTTCTGAAGACTTATGAATGCCGTTTACACATATTAAAGCACATTAGTGCTCTCCAAAGCATATTATAGGCTTTGTATAGTATGCCTAGCCTCACTGTAGTGCTGTGTGCAAGGAGCTCTTTTTTTGTTCCCGGTCTGGTAATTCCCATTTCCTAATACCTAAACTGAATTGCTTTCTTTCTGTGCCTTGTGGGGTACTTCAGCTTCAAGCCAATTCAATAATTGTTTTACAGAGGAGTAGTTCTGTTCATACAGTCAGGTTATCCACTCAACCCCTACATTTGGAAGATATTTTTTCCCACACTGAAGTGAATTGGATCATGCTTTGAGATATAGGATTGTGTATATGGGGGTTTTCTATTTGTGTGTGTGTGTTTTTTGAATGTAACTATGTAACATTGCACAGTCATGCAGGTGACACTTTCTACCGGTTAAGCTTTAAAACATAAAAACATACCAGTAATATACATGTATACATGTAAAGGATTACAGAAAAGGATTTCCTTTTATGGTAAATTGAGAAAAGCAAAATATACATTAGGTTTTTAGAGAGATACATAGTTTAATGAAACTGAGAAGAAATGCTCTAACTTCCCATTTCCTAAGTCATATTCCATAACTTTGGGATGGTCATATCTAGCCTAATTTATGGACCGGGAAAAGTTGGGTCCACCAATAAAAGACTAAAAATAAGAGAACAGAAGATCTGCTTACATTAAATCAGCTGCCTTACCACTTGAGTAGGTAACCAACTATCAGAACAATATACATATGCCCATGTAGACCTTTTCAAAGGACCTGGTAGCATTTGATGAAGCATAAAGAGCCTAGAAACTAGCTTGTTGTGTCCTTGAAAGGGAAGGCAGGGTAAGAAGTGGTCAGAATATAACACAAAAGGCATTTGCTTTCCATTAAAATGTAGGTTTCTTAACCCAGCCACAATTTTTATCCTCGTGTTCGAAAGTCCCTCCTGATCACACTCACCTAGCTGCTTTATAAGTAGTTGCATTGTGTGATAGCCTTTAAACTCTAGCATTTACACTTGTAATATCCAGACCTTACTAAGTAATACTTCTTCACAATTAAAAACTGTATTGGGTTTAAGGATGTAACACTAATAACTAAATACTGTAATGTAACCTGGCGACAATCATTTCCCAGATACACATACAAAGGTGCCCAAAGACATTAGAGAAAGTTTTTAGGACAAAAATGGTTATATCAGATATTATAAACAGATTGATATCTGCCCAATAGTCAATTGTTAAAGCTGTTTTTTTATCGGATGTTTGTCTAGGAGTGTTGCATGTTCATGTAAATGTCAGTGCCATGCATGGACAATATTTTAAGCAGGATATTTTAAAATTATGAAGCATTGTTGGACAATACATATCTGCAAAGGTTTGTCTGTTTGTAGATGCATAAACTGACATTATTGCAGACACTTTTTTCCAGTAGATTCATTCAGGCATCAGCTGCTCAAAACATTTTTTCAAATCAATAGTTGTCCAATAAACAACTGATCTTTCTCTAATGTCTATGGCTACCTTTTTTTTGCTGCCACTGCTCACCCATTACTCACCCCCGCGTATTGTTGCTGTTTGTATATGTGAAAACGCTACTTCTTGTGGTTTCTTCATCATCATGTCTTCTCCGAGCGGCAAATACAGCTTCATTCCATGTTGCAGCCATAACCTGTATATCCCTTTGCCACCAGACTGACACCTCTGGTATGAGCTACCCCTGATTCCTTCCCACCACCTCTCCCTTTCTCCCACACAATCTCTCTTTCTTGCTTTCTACTCCTGGCAGTCACTTGGATGGGTAATTTTGTTGACCTCTCTCCAGTTATATACTGAGCTGAGATGGATTAACCTAGACACCCACAGCACAGCTCAAACCACCTTAAACTTTTTATCTCTTAATTGGAGCAGGAGTTTTAACTTCACCCCTCCTCTCCACAGTCAATCTTTCTTGCTGCTTGCTCTGGTTTTACGTCACTTGATCAGGTTAAGGTTGACTTTTCTGGACACTTTGGGTGACAGGATAAGAGCTTGCTTAAATGAAAGACAGAGAAGGAGGGGAAAGGCTTGGGCTTTCTTAGTCACCAAATCCAATCTCATCTTCTCCATGTCAGTCAATTGCTAATACCCTTCACTTTGTGAAATTGGGGTCACTGTGTTAATTAGAGGAAGTGAAAATTGTGCAAAAAATAAATATCACCGTATTGTGAATTGATGCTGAGCTCTACACTCTCATCTCTTTAGGCTACGTACATTCGCCTCAGAACATGTGCACAATATTGTATATGTCGGTGATAAACAATCAGGACATTATTTCCATTCAGAGAAAGTTTGGGAGGTACTATTATCTCTCCTACCATCTGTTACCTGGATATCCTTCTAGCAATTATATACCCTACATTGTGAAGGAGGATTATTGTTTGATATTTTACTTGATAAGATGCCGTGGTTGGATCTTTCAGGAATTTTGATAAAACCAAAAAAGATTTCCGGTAAGAAGAGGCTAGACTATAGACTTATCCTGGTCAGTGAGGCTGGTTTACTTGAGTTGGGATTATGGCTTTAAGATGAGCAGATATAATGTGTAGCCTAGTTGGGTGGCCTACATACACCAAAAATAGGCATTTGTCTAAATCTCTGTGTTGGATTTCCTATGAAGACTGGGAGAATTCAGGGCATTGCACTAGATATTTATAAGAATGTTCTAAGGGAACCTTGACCAAGAAGAGAAAATATGAGACTTTTACAAGGTCAAACACTTACCCCATTATAATATAATGTTCTCATGCATTATCTCTATCTAAATTTTTAACATTGCTGAATTTGCCAATTACAAGTAAACACAATTGCAAAACACCTCATGTCTATAAAAGGAAAAAAAAAGTCTCACCTTATCATATCTGATATCTGGAACACTCAAATACTGGATTGCTATGATATGCAGACAGTGTCTTGGTATTGGTTGGTGAAGCATCAAAGTGATGGATTGCTATTTGCATAATAAAGGCACCCTGGTTAGGGCTCTATGGGTATACTATAGAGAATCAGGGATGATATGCAGTTTTATGTATAGCATGTGACCGCTATAGAAAGTAATTGACTCCTTCTGCACACACACACACACACACACACTGCAAACATTTACAATATAAAAACATTATTCACAATCACTAAGATAATATTTTTTTATCATGAGTAAGATGACATTTTACCACTAATTAACCTAATTAAACAGTTAAGAATTTTGGCCATATGGCACACACCCTAAAACTTAACTGAACCAATCCTGGTTGTCAAAATGACAGCCTTGACTTCAGCTACAGAACATCATTCAGAAGCTGACGCCAGGCAACTTTACAAGTTAAAAAAAAACAAAGGTTTAAAGCTGAACTCTAGGTATGATTTCTATGGCATAGTTACATTGGTCCAGCTGGGACAAATTTAAGTATTATGAGATTGTGGGGGTTTCACTCAAGTGCAGTGCTTTCCATCAAGTTGAAACCAGCCAGGAAGTATGTTTTCAGGGCTCTTGACCCACTTTTCTTTAAAAGAAAAGTTCAAAATACCTCACAGGATTATCCTTAAAGGGGATTTTAGCATCAGAACATACATTTTCCAGCCTCCTGGCTATACTGACCTGCCTAAAGACATACCGTCTCCTAATCTTAGACTGTAAGCTCCAAGGAGCAGGGCCCTCCTAACCCTCTTGTATTGAACTGTATCGTTGCTGTATTGTCTCCCTTTATATTGTAAAGCGTTGAGCAAACTGTTGGTGCTATATAAATCCTCTATAATAATAATAATGCCTCTCAGGCAACAACCTAATCTGGCCACCTCTCCTAGTGTTTTTCAAACACATACACCTGCTCCTGTAGCAGCTTGTCTCAAGGCTGAATCCCAGCCAGCCCCTTAATTAAAAAGGTTGTATACCCCTGAACCATCAGACTGCCCTTCTCTATTAAGCTATGGACACTGGCTTAGAACCTTCATCCCTCTCAAAACTCTTTGAAGCCTCTGGACTCCAGAACCCAATGCGGGAGTTACTAATAACAGAGAAAACTGCAAAACCAGTTTTCTCCATTCAGAATAGACATTCTAGAGCCTCTCAACCTTCATCAGTGAGAACCCAGTGTGACATATTCTCCTTTTACCACTTTGTAAAGGCACAGCACTGTCACAGCATGCATATCTCAAACCTGAGCAATAGCTGTGGTGGTTACAAAATCTTTGTAGTAGTCAATGCTACTATAGTGTTAGCAACAATCTTTTGGGTCTTGCGTGGGTCAATCGCTTGGTACTGCCGCCATTTACAGGACACCATGTATTTTTTTCAATTAATACAAGGCATTCTCTGATTGGACAGGATGGAGAAGTGGGACGATGACCTTCATGATTTCCACCTCACCCAATCAGAAAACACAATGTATTCATTGAAAAACATACAAGAAGTTTTGTGGCAGTGACCCACGTGGTTACTATGCAGAAAGGAAGCCTGACCTGAAATTCTGCTGCTATCTGTAGTGATTTGCAGCTTCCACAGCTATCACCCAGGTATGAGTATGAGAAAAGCATACTTACACAGTGATAAGTCAGGCCAATGTAATTACGCAATCAAAATTATACCTTGAGTTAAGCCTTAAAAAAAATATATATATTTTTCTATGTAAGCCCTTATTAACCCTTAGTTAACCCTAACCTCTCCTATTAAACTCCTCCAACCTACAATTTTAGCTATTATGTTTATGATAATTGTTTTTATTTTAATCTTTTAACCATTAATGTTTAAACTTTTCTTTAATTTTTATTAATTTTCTTTGGCAAATTTATTTCACTTTGAATTGAAGAAATTTGGCAAAATTGACAAATTGAGGAAGAAAAAGTTTTTATTTAATTTGTAAATAACTGCAATGTTTTGTACCAGAATAGTAATTTTAATGTCTTTAAAAGACAAGTTATGGAATACATTTTTTCATCTACACTATTCTTAATTAACATTAATCAAAGTGGTAGCGTGTTTTGTTATGTTATTTTGTCTATAGATTGCAGAGAAAATGCATTTTGGAATATTCCCCCCAAAAAAGCTAAGTTTGTCCTGAAAACAACATACGTGTTTTACTTTGTTATCTTACGTAATAACAAAGTTGTCACCCAGTAAATTGTCCAAAAGTGGTATTCCTGTCCAATACAGATGGCTACTACACTCCTATCCATCTTAATTTTTTCAAATACCATACGGCACTTGCGCAAGCTACCTTCTGCTGGGCACAAGACATAGAGGTTTCCAGTGGCACAACCTACATGACTTAGTTGAAGTGACATTGTATCAAAGAGATGTCAAGTTCTGTAATGTTGTTCATCTGTTTCTGTCATATCCCTATTATGATTGAAAGTACTGTATGTTATTATTTCAGGGTTTCTCAACCAGGGTTCTGTGGAAACCTAGGGTTCCTCCACATGTAGCTAGGGGTTCCTTGAGCAATGAGAAATTTCTACTTCACAAATAAGTTCCCACTGACACGTTTGATCCTTTTAGCTATCTGTAAGGGGGTAATTAACCCCAATGACTACAAGTGTAAGGAGCATTCTTCTAACTGACCATCACACTAATGTATCATGAGTTGTAGATATAGCAGTTTTTAGCAGAGGTTTCCCTGAGAATGCAAATTTATTTCGAGGGTTCTACTGTGTTTAAAAGCTGAGAAAGGCTGTATTAGTTGCTTCATGACTTCAGCTGAGAGATTGACATATGTAACCTTATGCTTGTACCATTGCCACAGTCCTAAATAAATAATTAAAAAATGGGTATTAAATTGTAAAAGAATACCTTAGTTTTAAAATGTCCATATTTGAATATGCTTTAAAACTAGCTAGCAGAGTAACATATTTTCCTATAGCACTCATAGAACACATTAGAGCAACTCTAGGCAATAAGTCAAACCATTCAGTGAACAGATGATGCTACATTGGACATTTCAATCAATTTTCCTTTAGGCCTTGTACCTAGAAGGTTTAGATGCATGGTTCTGTGTGCTTTCCTATAGAGAAAGGGAGCCCAGAGATGCCACTAAATGTCAACAGACACTACAGGCAACTTCATTGACTTGAGTGCAGCCACGCCACATTTATTCCTGCTTTAATATGATCTGTTTTTTTATATACTATCTTGAGCAGCTTCAGTAACAGTCTCTACTGTTTCTGAATGAAATTTGTGACTTGAGTCTGTGTTGTGCTGGGTTATTATACAGGGATGGGGATTCCCATAACACTGTGACATTAAATAGATGCTGTCCACTTGCCCTCACCACATTATACTCACTGTACCAGCTCTCCCCCTCCGCTTCTTCCGCCTTCTCTACCATCCACAATACCTGGCACTTCCTGAGCATGTGACCTTCTACCCTGTGACAGTGCTCAGTTCTAACAATAAATCACTGGGCCCAATACCACACATATGACCAGAGAAGTGACATCCCCTCCCCCCCCAGGTAGCTGAGACCAGTAATTTTAGTGCCAACTACATAGGACAACGAAGTAGCTAGAAATCAATGGAAACGTGAGTATGGGGTGTTGGGGTATCCTTTGCAAAGCCACTGTAACTTTCACTGCATGGATGTGTGGGCAATGTCTCTAGAAAGTGAGTTCCTTAGTGGATCAAACTGGATACCTGGA